TGACCACCCCGATCCCGTCAGTCAGTTCTTGCGACAAGCATGGGCTGCTTAAGGCCAATTCTAACCTGGATCCTCGCGGGTCTTATATCAGTTGTCTTAAGGTCGAAAGTGTAAGAAGGAGAAAAGACTAGCGGTCAGCAATTTTAACACATCTGATCATTTTCATCTGAACATGTCGAGTAGGCCCAAAAGGGTCTTAGCCAACCACCTCCTGTACATGTACACGAGAATTGATGATACAGGTTGAAAAATCACATCTTCTTGTTCCACTCAAGAGACCGGTGCCTATTAGAATAAAGTATTGATATTGGCAAGGGAGTTTAAGACATCACGTTATTCTAATTGAAGATGTGAAATCCATTATCTGGTGGCATTATTCAGACTAACTGTAGCATGTTCTGTTAATACCCTCATTACTCTTATTACGTTATCAACTGTAATTGGTTAGGCTCGTCACATGACCCTAGCTTCCTGTCTGGTTATTCACGCACACGCGCAGTCCTATACCTAACGACCACGTCTTCGGTAGTTACCGTACACGACCATAGTGCGGACAAAACAAAATCAGTTGCGCGTAAAAACGACATGAAAATTGATCAATAAAAGATACGAATAAAATTCAGCAGCACAGTTTCTTTGGAAGCCTCGTGTGTCCCGTGTTTCAAGTATCACACGTGATGGGAATCCGATGAGATGAAGCGCCAATGCTACCATGGTTATAAGAGAGAGTATTAACTTCTTTATGAATTCCCCCAAACACCGAACCCCGTTCTTCCTATCTGCCGAACTGCGGAACAATACTCCCCGGGTAACTTGGATTTATATTTTCAGCTATTTCCAGGATAATTAGGTTAGGAGAATTTGATGGGTAGTTACTCCTTGGCAGATGCAATTTGCACGGACATTTTGTGCATGGAATTCCACGGCCTGTATTATTTAGACATAAATAGCGATGGAAGGGTCGCGGATTGACAGGTTCATTGTAACCCAAGGAGCGTTATTACCCGTCTCAGTGGTGGAGCTGTTGCCGTTACCGAGGTTGGGACAGCTTCATATATTAACCGGGATGCGTGGACGGTGAAAGTGTTGCCAGGGTCATCATCGCCCTTTAAAACAGCTTCCCAAGGCTGCGTCTTCATCTTGTATAGAAAATGGGTCGCCGAGTTGTCTCCCCTGCAGATATACAGCGTTTTACTTGCCGCTTAATCCTCTCCAGTCCGAACATAAAACTGAAGTAAATCACTTCAAGAGGATGTTGTTCCATCACGTTTAAAGTTTACATCAATATTTATGCTTAAAGAACTAACGGTAAAACTCGGTTAGGTTGGCAGCTCATTATAACGGTAACGTGACCTCTAGGGATGGTTTATTAATGCATTTGATCTGAAATATAAAACCCGACCCAAAATGGATTTTTTTCGTAATTTTGAATGACAAGTAGGTTATGTTGATAACAAGCAGGGCAGATATGGATTTGTTATTATCATGTTCTTTCCGAGGAGGACCCTGCTTTGTCTTAATTTCAGCCGTAATGTTTTGCACACTTTAACCTCCCGAAGATAACTGCCCATTACGATCTCCGATGGAAATAGCTAGGTGATTAGCGACGGCTTAAAACTCAAAAACTAGTTACGTGTGGCGACCAAATCAGTCATCAAAACAATTTTGAATAGAAATTGGCTATCAGCATGAGCAAGACGTGATAACAATATGTTTATTGATCTCACCCGACTTGGCAGGGAAGTGAAACGTTGACACAGTCGCCGATAACCCCATCTTGGTTAAATAAGGTGACTTTGTGTGATGAAACGTTAACACAGTCGCCGATAACCCCATCTTGGTTAAATAAGGTGACTTTGTGTGATGAAACCTTAACACAGTCGCCGATAACCCCATCTTGGTTAAATAAGGTGACTTTGTGTGATGAAACGTTAACACAGTCGCCGATAACCCCATCTTGGTTAAATAAGGTGACTTTGTGTGATGAAACGTTAACACAGTCGCCGATAACCCCATCTTGGTTAAATAAGGTGACTTTGTGTGATGAAACGTTGACACGAAGGACGTTCGGGTGAATGAGTTTGGGCGAGTGTGTTTATGGGTGGTTGAAGAGTGAATAAGTGAGGGGCGAGTAAGGACTAGAGATGATTGATGAGAGAGATGGTGAGGAGCGAGTGAGATATTGAGATGATTGATGAGAGAGATGGTGAGGAGCGAGTGAGACACTGAGATGATTGATGAAGAGTTGGTTAGGTGCGAGTGAGACATTGTGAGTGAGTATTTGAGATGATTGATTAACGAGGGGAGAGTGAGTATTTGAGATGATTGATTAACGAGGGGAGAGTGAGTATTTGAGATGATTGATTAAAGAGTGGAGAGTGAGTTTTTGAGATGATTGATTAACGAAGGGAGAGTGAGTATTTGAGATGATTGATTAACGAAGGGGAGAGTGAGTATTTGAGATGATTGATTAAAGAGGGGAGAGTGAGTATTTGAGATGATTGATTAAAGAGGGGAGAGTGAGTATTTGAGATGATTGATTAAAGAGGGGAGAGTGAGTATGTGAGATGATTGATTAAAGAGGGGAGAGTGAGTATTTGAGATGATTGATTAACGAAGAGGAGAGTGATTTTTTTAGATGATGGATTAACGAGGGGAGAGTGAGTTTTTGAGATGTTTGATTAAAGAGGGGGGAGTGAGTATTTGAGATGTTTGATTAAAGAGGGGAGAGTGAGTATTTGAGATGATTGATTAAAGAGGGGAGAGTGAGTTTTTGAGATGATTGATTAAAGAGGGGAGAGTGAATATTTGAGATGTTTGATTAAAGAGGGGAGAGTGAGTATTTGAGATGTTTGATTAAAGAGGGGAGAGTGAGTTTTTGAGATGATTGATTAAAGAGGGGAGAGTGAGTATTTGAGATGTTTGATTAAAGAGGGGAGAGTGAGTATTTGAGATGATGGATTAACGAGGGGAGAGTGAGTTTTTGAGATGATTGATTAAAGAGGGGAGAGTGAGTATTTGAGATGATGGATTAACGAGGGGAGAGTGAGTATTTGAGATGTTTGATTAAAGAGGGGAGAGTGAGTATTTGAGATGTTTGATTAAAGAGGGGAGAGTGAGTTTTTGAGATGATTGATTAAAGAGGGGAGAGTGAGTATTTGAGATGATGGATTAACGAGGGGAGAGTGAGTATTTGAGATGTTTGATTAAAGAGGGGAGAGTGAGTTTTTGAGATGATTGATTAAAGAGGGGAGAGTGAGTATTTGAGATGTTTGATTAAAGAGGGGAGAGTGAGTATTTGAGATGATGGATTAACGAGGGGAGAGTGAGTTTTTGAGATGATTGATTAAAGAGGGGAGAGTGAGTATTTGAGATGATGGATTAACGAGGGGAGAGTGAGTATTTGAGATGATTGATTAAAGAGGGGAGAGTGAGTATTTGAGATGTTTGATTAAAGAGGGGAGAGTGAGTATTTGAGATGATTGATTAAAGAGGGGAGAGTGAGTATTTGAGATGATTGATTAACGAGGGGAGAGTGAGTATTTGAGATGTTTGATTAAAGAGGGGAGAGTGAGTATTTGAGATGTTTGATAAAGGGGGGAGAGTGAGTATTTGAGATGATGGATTAACGAGGGGAGAGTGAGTATTTGAGATGTTTGATTAAAGAGGGGAGAGTGAGTATTTGAGATGATTGATTAAAGAGGGGAGAGTGAGTATTTGAGATGTTTGATTAAAGAGGGGAGAGTGAGTATTTGAGATGATTGATTAAAGAGGGGAGAGTGAGTATTTGAGATGTTTGATTAAAGAGGGGAGAGTGAGTATTTGAGATGATTGATTAACGAAGGGGAGAGTGTGTTTTTTAGCAGCATTATCGACTGCAGTTTATTGTTTTATATAAGATACAGGATAACTCGTAAAGAACAATAAAGAACGAAGCGTGGTTTATTTACCGATAAAACATTGTTCTATCATGACTTCATTTCTGGAAATTCGAACATGCGCTCGCAACTTGATGACGTCGTTTATTGGGGGACTTCCTCCACCCATTTTGTGAATCGATCCCGGTTTTAGGTCTAGACGAACTAAAGCTTTAACTGTCATTAATGCTCTAATTGCATGACAAAAGTTCGAGCATCGTAAGGCTGGCTGCTGTGGTTAGCGTTATTTCTAATCTTGTAAAATAAAGCGACATAGTCGTTTCCATATCCAATAAAAGTCAATTGTTCGATTCCGACTATATCATGAGCATGAATCACTATCAAAAGTAATGATACCAGGTGTTCGCGAAAAGGTGAGCGTATCCTGCCCCACCCGGTGGTAACCGTCACAAACACATGCAAAGGCAAGTCAATTGTTCGCCTAAAAAAACACGGGGACATCTGGTACAAGTCAAAATAGGGAATTGCCTCGAACATCATTTTTGTCACTGTCCTCCACATGCCTTAGATAAAACTTTTTGAAAGCTTTACTGATGCCTTGAATGTTGTAACCTCTATCAAACAGCTTCTGAGCAAGAGTCGTATGACGCTCTTTGAAATCTTGGTAGAAAGAGCCAGCTCGATGGTATCTCAAAAGTTGTGAAAGTTGTATCTCCAAAGCCTGGAGCTGCTGGAATATTGCAAGACTTGAAGAGAAAGTTGACTATTGTCATGCAGTTTTGTGGAGAGTGTTATTTTACTCTGAATCTTTATGCATAGATCTCAATATGAAACAGATGAGGCGGTCTCACTGGTCTCCTTTATTTCTAGTTCAGGAGGGTAAATCAGTGAAGGGAAATGGCTATTTGATTGTTATTGAACGATATCAGATCATGCCTTTTCAAATCAGGACAAGGACAAGGACAAGGACTAACTAACACAAAGGTGATAACACTTCCTCTCTTAGGACAAAACGTCGAGCGATTCTGAAGTTCTAGTAATAATATTTTATTCGTGGATTTATGACTGTTATTAAGGTATATGTATGCTCATGTCAAACATTGGTAGAATTCTTGCACTCACCTCTGCTGAAAATGGCGTCCCTTCAATCGTATGTTCTGAGCCGTGGTCATCCTCGCTACCGAAGTGTAGTTTTATTTGCGCCACCCTGTAGTGATACATCAGAGGGCCGTCGCTGATGTTGAGGGAGCTGTAGCTGGACTCGTCCACAACCAGGGTAACGTCGCGCCCTGTGTTCACCAGCGTCCCGTGAATCTGGAAGCAGGATGTCGAGTGTAAGGGTATGCTCTAGTCGTAACTCATTACGGTATAGTTCGTTTGTATGTTACCGTATTTGACGTAATAAGCGCCCCGCTCTAATAAGCGCCCACGGCGATATTTGCTAATATACTGGCTAGTGGACAATCCCAATTAGCACCCCTTCCGATTGATAAATGTACACAAGACTGTTTATTCGTTCATGATACGTTTGTTATAGGCACCCTTAATTATGGGCAATTAAATTCTGGAAAATATATCTACGATACGCTTTAAGCAATACTCCAGGGTGAACACTAAACAATGAGCTTCACACAGTGTACCCATTTGGGGAAACGAACCTGGGCCTACGGCGTGACGAGCTAACGCCTTAACCATAAGAGTACTAACCGGCCACCGATCAAATATTGGTAACCAAATCACCATACCAACCAGCATTTACACATGGTAAGAAGAAACCAGTTTCATTTATGTCTTAATTAAGATGATATCAACTCTAGGCTGCATGTAGTCACTACGATGTAACCATTGCTGCGTACCTTAACACGAGACTCCATGATAACTGAAAGACATTCAAACAATGATACCCTGGTCAAGCTCAACAATTACTCCAAGATGTTCGTACACGATACCACGGGGGTCTCACCCTGCAAGCATCGTGTCTTAATTGGATTCGACACAATCCTGTAATCATACGTATTGTAAATATACGCACAAAAACAACTTCAAGTAACAAGAATAGGCGAAACATACAGATGAAAGAACTCGGATCGTTAAACAAGATCGTATTCGGTTGCAGATGACCGACAGAGAACCAGACATGAGTTACACAGCGTCCACTGGGGCTGGCACATGTACGCCCAGGAAACAGTAATTACTCTCAAAGGAGCATATTTGCTTAGAAAAACCTGTAATTTATTCAATAATTGGCATAGAACGACGTAATCCTCAAACAGGCGGCTATGTAATTGTGCTTCAGATTGCCAAACGGGAGATGTGCGCTGCCATAATCAATTACAATATAAAGCATCAGGGCTTTTTCTTAAAGGATTCCTCCAAAAGACGCCAAGCGATGCTCGGAGTTTAGTTTTGACGTCCTTGCCTTTGATCATTATCGGCATAAGAAAACACAAGGCTTTGGCAAAAACGAATATTCCAACCATAAGTTCAGAGTTTGCTTTGACGATAGTTTTTTTCAGGCTCAACAGGTCGATAGATTGTAATAAGGTTTTGGCTTCTCTCGAAATAAATGTCCGGTCGTTTCATTTTACTATGAAATTTTGTCATTAAGTTTGAAAAAATAATGTCCGTTTGATGTGTTTTTGAAACATTGAATCGTGTTTGTGAATAAAACCCTTTGCATGATTTAGATGGAACGAGATGTTCCTTGACTGACAAAGAAGTTGTATGTGCGGTAATGTAATTGACTGTTCTGTCTGCAACACAACAGGGTTTTTTCATCAACAGGATCATGATGCCTAAGAACAAGAAGGTCGCAATGGTTAAGTCTGGAAATAACTGTCGCATACGTAGTCGCTGTGTTGAGTTGCGTCCCTTTGGCACTCCAGGAACCTATGATGGTGAGTTCTAATCCCGGTTCGCCCTGATTATGTTTTGAGGTTTGTCAGCACCATACCCATGGCCGCCGTTTCACAACACTGGTAAATGTCTAAATCCTGCATCACTTTGGGCTTTCCTCTCACAGCGGCGTTGAACCAAACGCATTCACTCTATTGCAGTTAATGTACGTCAAACAGTGAAGAATGCTATTTAACAAATGGCCTGTACCTTCTGCTGATATGATTCTCAGAACATGATTAGGAACCCTGTATGGCAGAAAATGAAGGCTAGAAAAAAGTCAAGTCGTTGATATGTTGATATACGGTGGAATAACCTCAGCTTGAAAGAGAGGAAGAAGTTGAGTCCGGCCTTCTTTAGTGGGTCGTAATTTTGTGTCTTAGAATGACAAGGCCATTAAATCTCTGATCTATTTATTGCCAATGACAACAGCTAACCCCAACCCCAGCTGCGTTGTAATATAACGTGGAACAGGATTCTTGACACAGACGAGCTAAACACGAAACCAACAACCAGAGAGCAACCTGTATTACCTTCCCCAAAGTAGCTACTGTCAAACCGATTGCAATAAAATCGTTGATGAAAGGATTGGTTATGATTGAGATGGGTATCAACTAACATACCGATATTTTGTTCTGTACGTACATACAACTCTATGAGACTTCAATCTACGCAAAACATAAAAGTTCCAGCTCAAAGCTGATGAATCAGTAATGTTTTTGGTAGTGTGCTTGGGAACTTAAGCATTCATTTGTGGAGTTATCATTTGGTTAATGCAACATTAAGCTTAATAGGATGAAGATGGTTAAAGTCAAAGCGGCATATTGATTTCAAGAGCATCATTGAAAGGATGGCATTTCTCAAGGGGAAGTTCACGGCTTATCAAAGAATGAACGTAAGGTGACCTGAAAGCGTTGTAGGTTTGATGAAGTGATGATGGTTTTAAGGTCGCATTCAAGATGATTGCACTTCTGCAGAGACGTGTATATATCTGTATGTGTAACTGCTTATACTAGTCCAGACTTAAGATAGCCCACTTAGAAACCATACCGCAGTTTAACATGGATACCCCACTCAGACACAGTGTACTAACTTGTATTTGTTTATCCCCTAATGACAAACGCCAGACAGGGTAACAACGAATACCATCTTCTAACCCCATTTGGAATGACGTGGTCAGGGGACTGAACCACCGACACTCTACTATGCTCCTTCAAATGTCATCATACCGTTGGGGGGCGGTCGGGTAGCCTAGTGGTTAAAGCGTTCGCTCGTCACGTCGAAGACCCGGGTTCGATTCCCGACATGGGTACAATGTGTGAAGCCCATTTCTGGTGTCCCCCGCCGTGATATTGCTGGAATATTGCTAAAATCGGTTGACTGAGGGGTTGAGTTTGGATTAGTGAAGCTTAGAAGACTATTTCAGGATGTGACTGCATGTGGAAGGAACAACCCTCAGTTGTGAGTGTTTACCACAAGCGTGTTTACCACTTTGATGAAACCCAAAACTACAGGTTTGGTGCTGCCAAACCGAAAAGCATATCAGGATGAATGTTAATTGGATGTGAAGCCACGGCCACGGCCACGGCGCACCTATGACATGTACAGTATTCACTGATCTAGTGATCTGATTGAGTAAGTTGGATTTTACATCTCTTTTTTAGCAATATTCCAGCAATATCACAGCGGGGACACCGAAAAAAGCTTCAAACATTGTACCCATGTGGGGAATCGAACCTGGGCCTTCGGCGTGACGAGCGATCACTTTAACCTCAAGACTACCAAACCTTCCACTGATCAAGTGATAGACATTAAATCACAATACCAACCAGCAATCACCCATAGTAAGTAGAAACCAGTTTTATTTATGTCTTAATTTAGACGACATCAACGCTGGGCTGCAAGCAGCCACTACGATATGTTAATCGCTGCATACCTTAACACGAGACGGGGACACGGGTGGCCCAGCCCTCTAAGGCGCCGCAATTCGATGTGCAGATTTGCGTCCCTTGGGCACGCCAGAAACCTATGATTGTGGGTTCGAATCCCGGCTCGCCCCGATTATGTATCTAGGTTTGTCAGCACATACTGTGCTCGTGGGTTTCACCGAAGTGGTAAACGTCTAAGACCTGCATCACTTCGGGCTTTCCTCCCACATTAAGCTGACACGCCGTGATATAACTGGAATACTGTTAAAAGCGGCGTTAAACACAAGTCACTCACTTAACGCGAGACTGCATGATAACTGCTAGACATAATTAAAACGATGATTCCCTTGTCAAGCTCAACAATTATTCCAAGATGTTCGTTCACGATACCATGGAGGTCTTTCCCGGCAAATATTATTTCTTGTCTTAATTGGACTCGACACAATCCTGTTATCATACACGTTGTAAATATACGCACAAAAACTACGAAGTAATAGCAATAAGCGAATCATACCGATGAAAAACCTTGGATCGTTAAAGGAGATGGCATTTGATTGCAGATGATGCAGGAATTTTGCGCAGCGAGGACAGAGAACCAGATATGAGTTACACAGCGTCCACTGAGGCTTGAATATGTAAGATCAGGAAACGATAATTACTCTCAAAGGACCGTATTTGCTTAGAAAAACCTGTAAACAGACGGCTATGTAATTGTGCTTCAGATTCTAAACTGGAAATGTGCGCTCCACATATCACAATATACTACATACACTACTATATATTTCAATATAAAGCATTAGGGTTTTTTCTTCAAGGATTCACTTAAAAGACGCCCAGCGTTGCTCGGAGTCAAGATTTGACGTTCTCCCTTTGAACAATATCGTCACAAGAAAACACAAGGCTTTGGCTTTGACGAAAACCTTTTCTTCTCAAACAGGTCGATAGATCGTAATGAGGTTTTGGCTTCTGTCGAAATAAATGTCCAGTCGTTTCATTTCACAATGACAATTTTGTCATTATGTTTGCAAACATGATGTCAGTTCAATGCGTTTTTGAAACATTGAATCGTGTTTATGTGGGGGATCCCTTTGCATGATTTAGATGGAACGAGATGTTTCTTGACTTACAAAGAAACCGGTATGAGCGGTAATTTAATTGGCTGTTCTGTCTACAACACAACATAAATTTTTTATCACCAGGTACATGGTGTTCAAGAACACGAGGAATGCAATGGTGAAGTCTGGAAATAACTGCTTCCTATTTGAGACAGCAGTCTTCAGTTGCATACGAAAGTCGCAGTGTTATTGGCTGTGGTGAGTTACGTCCCTTGGGAATATAGACTCATGTTTTAAGGCCATAACCTTACGAACTTCTTCTCATGTAAACATGGTGTGAGACAAGGAGAAAACTTATGTCCGGTTTTGTTTGCTACGTTTGTAAATGCCCATGAAACAATTCTTTATGAGGATGTTTGTGCTGGTGTAAAATTAC